GGGGGCGGCGTCTCCGAGTTCCAGGTGAGCAGCGCTCGCTCCTCCGGCTGCGGGCTTGGGAGGCTGCCTCCCACAGGGGCGAAGGTGCTGGGTGGTGCTAAGAGGCGGGTGGCTAGGCTGAGGGCCTTGTTCTGGGCAGGAGGGGTGGGGGATCGGGCACTGTGCAAAGGCCCTGCAGACTCAGCGTGGGCTGTGGTGGGTCCGTAATGTCAGGTGTTGAGGGGAGGATGAACAGCCGTGGTGCGGGTTGCTGTTGGGGACAGATGGGGACAAGTGGGTGTTCCCTTGTAATCCCCTTCCCTGGCCCCAGCTCCATCCCCCTGGCAGTGCTTTCAGCCTGTGCAGGAGCTTCCCAGGGCTGTGTCCAGAGCCTGACCCATGGGCTGTGATGGGGTGATTTCAGGGACCTTGAGGTGGCCCTGGGGTCTGTTCCCACCGCTTCTCTCAAGACCCCCTCTCCTAGCAGACAGGCAGTCCGTTCACCCCCAGCATCTCCTCTCCTGTCTCTGCAGGGCCCTTTGCACTCGCCGTTGGACTCTACGCGCAGCACCCGGCACCACGGCCTGGTGGAGCGGGTGCAGCGGGATCCACGCCGGATGATGTCCCCCCTTAGACGATACGTGCGCCAGATATCCTTTAGCAGTGCCTGCCCCTTCCTGCTGCAGGGCCTGCAGTCCTGCACGCTGCTCTCCCTCTGCACAGCTTCTTCTTGGCAGCTCTCTGTTTGGCCCTTAACATGCTTTTCACATCGACAGCTCTCCCTATGGACCGACCTACCTGTCACCTCCACCAGAGCCCAGCTGGAGGAGGTAAAGACCCCATGTTTCCTCTAATGCTGGCTCTCAGCACGCAGGCTGCCTGGTGCCAGTCTCCAGCCCTCTCTCTCCCCGTGCCTGCAGGATTGCTGGCGCTGGAGCCTGCGGCCTGCTCTGTGTTAAAGAGCACTGAAAGTTTGGAAGCAGACGGGCTGGCAGAAGCCCAGTTTAGGAGAGTCCCTTGTAGCAGGCAGACATGCTTAGCGTGTTACATCCCTTGGAGGAGGATTTGCACAGCTTCCCCTGCCAATCCATGAAGGAGAAACTAGGCACAGGGGGCAGAAAGAAATACTGAGATGCAGAGAGTGAGCGTGGAAGAGCTGGACCGATCCCTCTCCTGTAATTTCAGGTGTTACCCACGCCTATTCTGGATACACCACTCCGCCGCATAGATGGGTATTTTTGAGGCAGAATGGTTTTTTTTTCGTTCCTAGAGAGCCAGCTCTGGCCCGTGCAAAGGCATCAGCCTGCCTCGGCTGCTGTGGCAGTGGTGGCTGTCGGAAGAGGGATCCTGTCTGGGGTGAATCACCGGGCGGCTGAATTCCCGAGTGCTCTGGCCTTTGGCCCTGGGAGCAGGGCAAGGACCAGACCGGCCAAGCGCAGGTCACCCTGCGGATGGGTCCAGGCCCAAGGTTGCCCTGAGTGTCATCTGGTGCTCGTCCTGGTTGGGGGGATGCAGACATCCCTTTGAGCTGCAGCTCCAGAGAGGGACCCCTTTGGGGCTCTGTTCAGGCTGGCTCAGTCCTTTCAGAGGTCACACCGGGCTCCTGGGCTCTATTTTCAAGGCTACCCTTCCTCTGAGGTGCTGCGCGTAGCACAGCTCTTCTTCACAGACCCAAGGACTGTTCTCCCTGGGCGACTTGCTCCTCCCTGGGCCTGCGCAGAGCTGCTGGTGCTCCTGCCAAGGGATGCCCGTGTCAGCGCCCCAGCAGCCGGGCCATCTTTTTGGCCTGCTTGGAGCCCGAGTGAGCTGTACAGTTTGCTGTCCCTCCTCTCCAGCCTGGGGGTGGCCTGTGATGGCAGGTCCCAGGTGACAGGTCAGGGTTGTGCTGTGCTGTCCGGTGGTGTGCTGGGGCTCTGCTGGAGCCTGGGGGTTAACGTTGTGTCTTGCACTTTGTGCCCCTTGGTGAGCATCAGCGCAGGTTGGTCCAGAGGGCGAGGGCTGTGGTCCATCTTCCAGCACACCTCCCCGTGACATCCCAGTCCGCTGACAGGTGCCCGCTCTGCGGTCCTTTCTAATCTGCCAGGGCAAAGCCTTTGCTGCTCTTTCCCAAAAGAGGACAGAGGTTTCAAAATCTCCCCACCCCATTCCCAGCCATGGATCCATCACTCAAAACAAACACTGCGGCCCTCCTCGCAGGGGCTGGTTTGGGCTCGGGCTCCAGGAGGCGATGCCTTTACTGCCCTGAGGTCTCTCCTGGCTGGGGTGCCAGGACGTTGCTGGGGGCTGTGCCAGCGCCGGGGAGCACAGCACAGGGGGAGCTGTGTGCCCGTCCCAGCTCTGGCCCCCGGCTCGGTGGGCAGTTCCTGGCAGAGATTCCTCCCAGAGAGACGGCTTCGGGAGCCGTCTGTGCTTGCTGCGTGGGGGCGAATTCATCCATCACAGGGGCCGGTTTAACTCCTGTTGAGCCACCCCTGGCCGTGCTGCCCGAGGTGGCTGTGGCCTGGTGCCGCTCTCGAGGAACGTCCCTGCCTATGTGATACAGCCCTGGCTTTGCTTCCTCACTCAGTGTCCCCAGCGTGGCCCCCTGTGCTGCCAGCACCTTCCTGCTCAAGGTGTGGAAGGTTGGCTGCGTCCCCAGTCCTACTCCAGCTCCCTTTGGCCTGTCCGACCCTTGCCCTGAGCAGCGCAGCGTGGGGCTGCCCTGGCAGGGTGCGTGGGTACCCCGTGAACGGAGCAGGCCCTTTGCAGCCCTGCTTTTTCCTGGGACGAGCTCCCCAGGAGCACCTCGCTGCAGATCCTGCTACTGACTCCTCACCCCAGACTCGGTGGGCTTTCGTCCTCTTCCAAACCATTGCTTTTTGTTCCTTGGGCGTGACCAGTCCTTTCGGCCTCTCACCCGAACCCCCATCAAATTCCCTTGGCATCTGCCTCTGCTCCCAGCTGAGAAGGAGGTGGGGAAGGGGACAGGGAAGCAGAGAGTCTTGTGAAAGTCCTGGGATGGGGCTGGCTCCAACTCCTTTCTTTGGGTCTGCAGTCTTCCCCAGCTCTCTCCAGCACTGGCTCTTGAGGTTCAGGCATGCGTTGCGCTAAATACCAGCCGTTCTTGGCAGCCTGCACAAGGGCAGGGGCTCAGCATCGCTTCCCTGGTGTGCTGGGGAGGGCCCGGCGTGCTCCCGTGCTCCAGGAGCAGAGGTGCCTGCCCAGTCTGCGTGGGGCTGCTGGGGGGAAGGTGGTCTCCAGCCCGTGGGTTCCTCTGCCCTGGAGAAGGGTCGGGGATGGGGACCCTCCAGCTGAGCATCCCCAGTCACAGAATTGGTTGTTTTGGTACTTGGGGTTTTTCGCATGGAAGGATGTTGCCTGCCCCTTCCTCCCGGGAGCTGCAACTTATAAATAAATGGCCGTGATCCTGCAGCCACGTTCTTGGGCAGTGCAGCTGGGTCCCTGTGGTCATGCTGCCCATTGCAACTCAACTTGGACTGTTGGCTGAGTCAGGGAGGAGGGTGAAGATACCTCGGATCAGCCCTGACCCCATGTCGAAGGGGGATTCCCGGGGTCAGCGGAGACACCCCAGCTTGCATCTCCCAAAGCTTGTCCGTGCAAGGCAGCCTGCCTGCCTCCTCCCTCTGCCCCTCAGCCTCCTCGTCTCTGTCACTAGCCCTCCCTCCCCACGGCCCTGGTGGGGCAGTGCCACCCTTCTCCCCATCCCTTGCCCCCCAAGTAACCCTGCTGTTTTTCATTACAAAGGACCATGCCCTGGGGTAACTTTCCTATGGAGAAAGGACATTTGTTTAGGCTGCCGTCGGCTCTGAACAGGTGAATGATTTTTGATTCCGTTTTCTCTCTCTCCCTGTCTCTAAGCTGGGCTCCAGCCCTTCCCCAGGACCCCCAGGGTGGGCACAGCCCTGGTTCTGACAGCTCTGGTCTCCCAGGAGAGGGGAAGGGGTCTCTGGGCTGCCCCGTCGGCTGAATGGGGTACCCCAGGGAGGAGGTGGTCTTGTCCTGCAGCGTCTCGGGTTCCTGAGGAGCACAGCTGCTGCAGGCCATCTCTGGGGACATGGGGGCAGGGTATCCCCCAGGGGTGCAGCAGGGCCCTTTACAGTGGCAGGGGGGGTGGGGGTGGGGTGCCCCACACCCCG